AGGATCACTGGCTGGGACAGGCTAGACTTTGGTCGGCGGGTGGTGAGCAATTGCACTGTGCGTCACTCATTTGTATATTGTGTTATTACTGTTATTATAATTTTATTTTAATTAGTAAATGGTTTGTATCTCAACCCATGAGTCTCCTTGCCCTTTCCCTTCCAATTCTCTACTCCCTGGGTGTGGGGGGTGGAGAGTGAGAGAGCAACTGTCTGCAAGTCAAAAGGGTGAAACCACCTCATCTGGTTAGTGAGGGAGGAAATGCAAGCCAAATTAGGAATGAAAAGACCTGTTTGCCAGGTTCCTGCTCAGGAGGTGAGAGGTAGCAGAAATGCTCAGTGGCACGGTGCTACCCATGATGCAGGACTGCTGTTGTCTCCTCCATCCCCACCAACAACCCAGAGCTGCAGCACAGACCTGGCTCCAGTGCAGGCAGAGATCTGCTGTCAGCTGGTGATGTGTTTGAAACCTTGCCCACACTGCTCAAGTCTCCTGCCTTTGTGGTGATGGACTGTGTCCTGGCTTGTCCTTGCTGAGTGATCCTGAATCTCTTACAGCTTTTAATTAGGGTGATTTCTGTTGGTCTGCTGGAAATGCTTTTCTCATGTAGATTAATTAAAAATAAAGCCTTGCTCTGACAATTTAATGTGCTGTGAGCTCTGGTCAGGATGCAGGCGGTCTTCTAAACCATTATTCATGACACTGTTCTTGCTTCTTATTTACTTTTAAACTGTGTTTTGTGGGAACTGGGGACAGTAGTTGTTCTCTGTAAAGTTAGGGGCAGGGTTAGTCCAGCTGCAAGGGCAAAGCTGTGCATGAAACATCACCTCCCCTCTGTGGGCTGTAAAGCAGTGACTTGGTGCCAGATGCCCTCAGGCAGCTCCTTTGTTTCAGGATTTGCACCTCTGGACAGCAGGAGTTCTTGGCTTAAAACACTGGCTATTTCAAGTCATGTTAATGTTTTCTGCTGTTTGCTCCTTTCTATTAGCAGCAGTTGACTAGTTTGGTCTTTGTAAGGTTGAAACAATTGTCTGAAGACTTGGGCAGTCAGTAAATCAGTATTGATTAGTTAATGGCTTTGTTCTGATCTTCTTCAGGGTGTCTATTGAAGCTCTAGTTTGATTTTCCTGTGGTATTTGCAGAATTAGAACTATCTCTTGGAGAAAATTCACCCTTGTGTGGATGACTTCAGGTTAGTTTCATCTTTGACCTCTTTCTAATGTATTTCACATAAAAAGTTATAATTCTGTATCCACAAAGAGTTTGGGCAAAGTTCCATTCCTTCAAAATATGAATTTGTCCAAGGAATATTAAATCCTGTATTTCAAAGGCAAAAATAAGAACCGTTACAGACTGGATCAGATCTAACCCAGCAAGCGGGTTGATGTGACACTGACCTGCCATGAGGTCCCACCAGTGATGGGAGATGGGACAAGGGACCTGCACATCTGTGATCTGGGACTCAGCTGTTTTGATTTTTCCTCTTTAAACCCTCTAAGTTCTCTCAGGGATCTTTGAGTAGGGCTTCTTCATTTTAATTTCTTATAAACAGACCTTGGAGAATAAACCACGATTTTAACATCATTTTTGCTGATAGCACATTAATACACAGTGTGCAGCTTCCTTGGGTGTGTTTCTGGGACCAGATGAGAAAAGCACTCTGATGAAGTGGGATTTTGCTTGTTATGAATATTTATATAAGAAGTCTCAGTGCCTTGATAGTTCCTGGAATGTAAATGCAAAAGGGGAGGAAGCAGGTTGTGTTTTTTTTTTTTTTAATGGTACTTTTTATACATCTTTTAGTCTACTTTCAAAGTCCTAGAAAATATTATGCTCTTTCATAGCAAATGCCTGAATGCAGCGCAGCAGGCTACTGGGGCCGGGCTTTTTTTCAGTAGTAGCCAGTGACAGGACAAGGGGCAATGGGCAAAAGCTGGAACACTGGAAGTTCCATACAGACCTAAGGAAAAGCTTTACTGGGAGGGTACCAGAGCCCTGGGACAGGCTGCCCAGAGAGGTTGTGGAGTCTCCATCTCTGGAGATGTTCCAACCCACCTGGACGCTTTTCTCTGACACCTGGGGTAGGGAACTTGCTTTGGCAGGGGGGTTGGACTGGATGGTCTCCTGAGGTCCCTTCCAACCCCCACCATTCTGTGATTCTGTGACTGCACTGCTTCATTTACAGAGATGTTATAAGGGCAGCAGCTGATGTGGCACGGCTGTGCCTCCACCTGAGCCCACATAACTCAGCAAAGGTATTCACAGTGCGTTGTTATTTGTGATTATTGATGACAATATTCAGCAGTAGGAGAACATTCCTGTTGGCGTTGCTGTACTTTAGGACAGGAGTTTTGTTGAGCTGCATTTAAATATACAACAGGTAAGTGCATCATGGCATTTCCACTTGACTTTCTCATGAGACTTGGTGTGCAAAATCATGAAAAATGGAAACTATGGTGGTTATTGTATGTTCTACCTTGAATAGTTCTGCTTAAATTCCTAAGGGATGCTAAAACACTGAATGGGAAGGGTAAAGCAATGCTTTGATCGGGAGCCAGGTGCAGAGCTGTAAGGAAATTAAATTTTAAAACAGTGCTGTAGCAACAGGGCTGATTTTCTAAAACTGAAAATGTTTTGCACAGTTGCTGGAAAGTTGGGGGGAAAAAAAAGTAGCATTACCATGAAAGATATTCCTTCTTCTTATGGGGAAAACTGAATATTGAAATTAGCAACATTTTCTGGTTTAAATAATGGAAGACAACCCAAAGTGATGAGTTATTCCTGCAAATATTATTACTTGCAGTGTCTGTCTTACACTGGCATTTGGTATCCTCCATTGAACGTTGACATTCAGGTGTTTCATCATGACACTGCACTGCAAGAGCTATCAGGGAAAAGCAACAGATTTCCCATATTTGTAAAAAACAGCTCTGGGAGAAGTTACCCTGTGCTGGAGCCCAGTAAAGTACCAGTTACCCAGATGAGGTAATCCAGGGGTAAGTGTCATCTCAGTTGTTTTACCAGCTAAAGCCTTCAATGTTACTCCTTGAACTTTGGAGCACACGCTCAGTACCTGCACTATGCTTGTCTGAAGCCAGCTGAGATGAATTTCTGTTCTTAGAACCTAATTTTAGAAATGCATTAATAAGGATACAAGAAATGCAAATTAAGCACTGGAGTAATTTTTGCCCACCATCCTTGGTCACAGAACCTTTAATTTCTTAGTTTTATTCTTTTTAAATGTAGTGTAGTTTAAGTTTAGCTTTTTAACTTTTTTGGGCTTTAGAATCCCTATAGCAAAATTGTTTCATATAATGATTTCATTGTTCACACATTGCAGAAAAGCAAAAAAACCTCCATGTATTGAATAGTCAAAAAGACCAGGCAAATATTTCACTCAATGTACAACAAAATATTATGAGGTAATTTTATTTTTTTCTTTTCCCATTTTTAGGTAAAAATATTACAGTATACAAGATAATCTTATTAAAGGTAAAAATACTGTATTTTGCTTTTCTCTAAACAGATCTACCTACAGTACACTTTTTATTGTGGTTTTTTTTTTATTTTTTTATACAAATATAACTATTATTCTATTAGGCTATCTGTGTTCTCATCTGGCACTTAAGAACTGATCACAGGTCACCTTCTGGTTCTGCTTGTTTTTTCTTAGCTGATACCTAAATGCCATGTTCATCTCCTAGGTGTCTCTTGTAAACAAAGAGTACAGTTCAGTGGTTCCCAAGAAGTAAGGTGTGCTTTAAGTAGTTGAAATCATGTAGCTAAATGTAAAAACCCAAGCAATCCAAGTTTGTGGTTGTGTTGCACGGTCATCACTTCCCAACTATGGTGGAGCATGGATCAGGATTTTTCTATTTGCTGATCATTTATAGTAGGTTTTGAATCTTGTTAGAAAGATGTGTTTCAGTGCTTTCCTTGATATTTACCTTTTTTTTTTTTTTTTCCCCCCCAGAATGTTCTCAGTGGAATTGAAGCTTTTTCATATTGATTTAAAAGTCTGAATTTATTGGGCTTTGTTCTTCCTGATTTATCTCACCCTACGCCTTGTTTCTTGACCTCTGGAAGCCGAAAGCTGAGCTCAGTTGCATCGCTGTCGCTGGATTAATGTTGTTCCTTGAACTGAACATATTAGCACAATATATGTTATTTCTGGACATTCCTGGGAAGTGAGTTTCACATCATGATGAGTATTTCAGTACACTGTTGTTGAAGCTGGGATCATCTAAGGATAAAAGAGAGGCTAGGTGTGTACAAAGAGACTGTATCCATTAGTGGACTAGCTAATATAGCCGGAAAAGGTGGAGAGGAGTTTTTGGCTGGGAATCCTTTTATCAGGTTCTAGCAGAGGGGTGAAAAGATGCTTTACCCAACGAGCTTGGTCCATTTTTTCCAGTGCTGTCATCCAGTCTAAAAGGTAGGTGACCTCTACCTGCCATACTTTGCCTTGGTCATTTCAGCATATAATTTCTCATTTGCTTATTAACTCATTAACCACAGTGCTGTTCAGAGTTATCTTCATGGACACCCATGTAAACATAAAAAGAGAGTACACACCCAAGGATAGGAATTTTTAAAATTTTTCAAGGAATATGCTTGGCACATTTTTTTCTTCAGACTTCACCCGGTTCTGATCAGTACAGTCTCAGTTGGTATAAATCAGCACAGCTGCATTGTCTTCACTAGAGTCAGATGGGTGATCTGGCTTTTTTACCTTTGACTAGAGGTGCCTTCTCTATGGTGCATCTCTTTCTGATGTCAAAGGGCATATATTTTTTTACCAGTAAGTCACTTTTGTATCATAAAAGATTTAACTGGTAACTCACCAAGCACAGTAGTACAAAGTGCTCCTACCAATACTTGCTAGTTAGCAAAAGTTGAGCGTGCGGTACCCATCTTTTGCATGGTTTTTGCCCTCCTAAGATGCTGGTTGAGACTGAATAGTGTTTGGAAAATCAATTGCTTTTCTCTGTGTTTCTCCATCAAATGTCCTTATTTAAGTTCTTCCCAAATTTGTCACTCAGCTGCTGTATTAGTCGTGCCAGCTCGCCGGTAGCTTGTGATTTTTCCTCTAAGAGTTCATAGCGGAGACTAGAAATATCTTGCTTGATCTCTTTAAGTTCTCCTAAAAGGAGGAAAATATTCTTGTTAGAAATATTGAACCAAATAATTAACCTATGGTTTTAAGATCTAAGAAAGGATTAATTTCAGTGCCTTCAGTCATGAATGTGTGTGGAGCTCCATATGATGTCCCTGCATTTATACACCTAATATTTGATTTATAAGAAATAACCTGTACTTGCAGTAGGGTTACTGACAGCAATAGCAACTAGGTATGGAAAATTCATATTTTTTCTCAAGTCTGTTCTCACTCCACATATTGATCTCCACTTACACAGGATATTTGTAGGAGGATAGCATTTAAGAGGTGTTAGAAGGAGGTTCTTTTCCATCTACATATAAATCCTACGTGACACTGTGGCCATACAAATCCTTCTCCAGTTCAAAAAAAGTCCTTGGGACAGGCATGGGCAAGACAGTCAGAAATTGCTTTACTTAGACCCCGAGACAAGATTAGGTGTTGGCAATATTGTGGGTGTTGTAAAGCAAGGAGAGGTAGAACTATAGAGCAGGGCAGGATTGTGTAAAGACATATCTTATGATATATGTGTTCTGCTAAGGAAGATTAAAGGCCCAGAATTTCAAGAGCATAAGGGCGGATCAGAGTCATCACTGTTCACCTCAGTGTGAGCATGAGCGTGCTCTCTCTCTACAGAGGATGTTAGCTAAGCTCAACCCTCAATAGCAATAACATTACATGGTATAATCTATGTCAGTCACAAAAATCCACTTGCCTTCATTGACTTCATCATTTTCTCGGTCAACCTGAGCCTTCAGTACATACCGCTTAATCAGCCGCTTCATTATTTTCTGAAAAGAGAACAGAAACACTTATCTTAACATGAGCTTATCCACATTGCCTTAATTCTAGACTCAATTCAAGCACCTGATTTCACTATGGATAAAATCGGGCTTCAGAGGATGCAAGGAGAATTTTTTATTGATTTCCCATATATTTTATTCTTTATACTATATACTTTGTACTACAATAGTCAGCCGATAGCCATTCCATAATGGGCCTACGTACGAGGCACTTTGGGGTATTTTGTGGGATGCACATGAATGTAGAGTATGTACCAGTGACAGAAAAAAAATGCAAATAATCCAATAGCAAGCTAAGAAAAGGGATCCAGAGCCTTCATTTAGCATGTCACCGTTTAATATAGCAGCAAAAAATACTTTACAGGAAGAAAGAAGTTGTTAATTAATGATGTTAGCAAACTCACTCCTGATGATGAACTAAACATCGGACCTAGGGTTAAGAGAATGACTCTGTTTGCCTTGGAATTGGGGTTTTAGGAGAGAAAATAAATTTAGCGAAGGAAGGACAAAGAAAAGAGTTTGAACAGAAGTGGAGAACTTGGCTTAAGTGAAGTTTCTTAGGGAAATGGAAGATTTTAAGGGATGTGCACAGGGAAAAAAATAGAGTGATATAGACTTATAAAATGGGAGATGATTGTTAGTAAGGAACAGAGGATATGGAAATAGTAGAAAATGGCTATGGATGGGAGCTTGCAATGTGATATTGTTCTAAAAATGCATAAGCTACATCTATCTAGAATGAAAGTAACTGTGGCAGTCTTGGGCTACACACTGGGTTACAGCTGAAGGTCTGTGTCATTGCCAGTTCTTCACTACAGAAAAGACATTCATCAATGGGAAAAAACCTCTCAGCTACCTTAAACATAGACAGGATTGCTCCATCAGAGACAATGATTTAGGTGCATCCTCTGCAAACAGAGGAGAGCTCAGTGAGCATTCTTGAACAGCTACACAAATGTCTTTCATTGAGCAGATGGCCACTGTTAAGGGAAAAGCCTCTCCCAGCATGGGATCACTTATTCACAGAGCAATCACATGTCTCTGCTTTGAACATCACTGAAAAATGCTGCAAAGAGTGTGAAATATGAATTATTAAATCAGTACACCTGTTCTTTTTTCTTAGTAGCCAAATATGGATTATAACAGAGCAAAAGGCATGTGAACATAAATGGCATGCAGTCATGGAATATGGGATGTCTAAGACTGTCCTTGTGTCAAAGAGGCATCTGGCTACTCGGATGAGTCTTTAAGGCAACAGAGATGAGGCAGAGCGCACGTACGGTGTGTTGAAGATGGCCAAGGTAGTAGAATCCAGAGGGAAGTAGGGTTGTCACCTGAGAAAACATAAATGAAGTAATGTTTGGGGAAAGTAGGGAAATCCTAGATCCAAAAATAAATGATTTTTTCAGAACAGATGACAGAGGAAATTTAGACTAAAACAAGGAATCAGCACATAGTGAATGCTCTTATTAGCTGGAAAAATTTAACATAACATCTATCTACTCCAGATCCCATACAGCTTGTGTTTTTGATGGACACTACTCAAATGCCATCCTATATCAACCACCGTGTGTGATGGAAGTCACAAGCTTAAGGTTGCCTATTATATTAAATCCATAGATTTGTCTACAGAAACTAAATATTAAAAATGTGACCATTTTTTAACAAGAGTCTACTTAGACACTTAGTAGATGTTTCTACCAATACCTTTAGGAAAGTAATTAGTTTTTCCCTCAATATTACACTGTGGCTTCTAAGCCTCGCTTCTCCTCTTCTCCCCAGTACTGCTCCTTTTAGCTGCAATCAGTGAAATAGCCTCTTGGGAAAATAATCCTGGTTACTGCAGGGAAAAGCTGAACAAAACTTACAGACAGCCTCTTGATAATGAATGCTAAACTTGAAACAAAATACATCTTATTTCTATAAAGTACTGTTCTCCCATTCTTTAAAAGTTAATTGAAATTCTTCAGGTCTTAGAGAACTTTTATACTATGCAAGGCTCGATTACTGAGTGTTGCTCTTAAGAGAACAGATTCTAGGAATAGGTCAGGCATTTGTAAATTATAACTCTGCACTGAATTAAATCTTTTTTAATGTATTTATTGGCACAAACTTCAAGCTCTGCATTTGCCATCAGCTATCTGGACACTTTCTATACCTTCTAGCACAGAGGGAAAGGAGAAGAAAAGGACAAATTTGTGGCAAAGGCACTGAAATTGAATTAATGAGATTTGGGACTCAATTTCTGGTTTGACCATAGGATTTTTGGGTCTGGTAAGTCCTTCTGGACCTCTGTTCCTCATCTTTAATGTGGAGACCATGTTGTCTTCCCACTTCACTATTTATAACATTTTATGCTGGACTTCATTGTTGAAGACCACATTGTTACAGACCTTAATACTGCTATTTAATTCACAGGTTTCTTCTTCATGCTGCATTTGTGGACACTGCAGGTGTCATTTGGCATGAGTGTGGGAGATCTCAGAGCAGCACTCATGGAAGGAAATGCTTTGCTATGTCCCTGGTCAAAAATCAGATGCAAGTCAGCAGTGATCAGAGGGGACAGCTACTCAGGGACACCAGATCTCAAACCTGGTGATCTCAAATGCACTTCTTATCAGTTAGTAGAAGAGCTCAAGAGTGAAGCTAGCAAAATAATTTGCTCATTTCTTGACTCTTTGCTATTTTGTCTCTCCGAACAGCAAAGAAATATACTTCTGAGGCTTTAAAAGTACAAACTGTTCCTTCTAGTCTTTTCCTGACAAATCCTTTCCTGAGTTTTGTAGATGAAGATGACAGGCCAACAGTGCTGAAAGTGGGAAAAACTTGTGAGCTTAACACAGCATTTTAGCAATGCTCCATCTTAAAGTCTCAGCTCAGGAGGATTTGATAAAGGTATGGTTTTGCCAGGTCATTGCAGCTGTTTGTTGACTTGTCCTTCCTACTTCTCAAATTATTGCTGTATATTTTTTTACCACTCAAGAACACTCTCTCTCTGTAGTCCAAGTACACAGACTGCAGATACATCACTTGATAACAGCTCAGCAAGAAGCTACAGCTTCAAAGGTTTCCCCAGTTGTAGAAGAAAGCTTGCTGGCCAGATTATCAAACTGTTTGTTCTTCTTTATATTTAGATAATCAAGACTATTACACTCTCCTTATATTATTTGGGCAATTTCTTCCTGCAGCAACTGAAACTTTCTAAGATCACTTGAAGACAAACCTAGTAGATGCTTTAGTAAAGCAAAATAACAAGTAGTCATCTTTCTCTACCTATTTTTCACAGCCACCTTTGGCTTTTTCAACCTTGGAAATGAGGGTCTAATTTACCACAAATATTAGGTGGTCTCACTTAGAAGTAATTGCAGGAAGCGAGTGAGTCCAGCAGAGGCTGACATATCTCTCTGTTACCTGTGGGTTTGAATGGATGGAGACATGTCAGAAATGCAGAAATGCCATTTTGAGTGGGACAAAATAATTCCTTCCCTTTGCCTTTGATGATAACAAGCCAACTAACTCCAGATGCCAGAGTGAATATATCCCATTTCTAACTTAGATTTTCAGATGCTTCTCCTATCCTGGCACAAAAGTCTGAACAACTTTTAAAACCAGTTATATATTGCTGGTCTGCTGTACAGTCCAGGAGCCCATTATGCCGGATGCTGGACCAACACAAGACAAACCTCTTCTAGAATTGCCATTGCACATTTTGTCCAACTTAACTATTACTTCCCTAACCTCTCTTAAATGTTGGTTCCTTCAAACATATCACTTGCCATCAGACTCCTCTACACTTTATCTTAAAAAATAGGGAAAAAAATCCTGTGGGGCACATTTTGCTTATCATGTTACCCTATCACATGTCTGCACAAAAAATAACACATCTGCTGGCACAAACACTTCAGCCAAGACAGACAGTTGTGTTAGTTCCTGTATTTTTGAACCATACCACATTGCAGGTTAATCTCAGTAGGATAAGTCACTGCCAGAGGAAGCACATGCAAATGTTAATGCAAAGGCTGGAGAGATGACTCTGTGTCATGACAAATGAAATGCTGTCAGTGCAGGACTGGAGGATTAAAGCTTGAATGATATTTCTTGTATTAAATTAAATACCCTTGAGTGGAATTAATTAGCATGACAAATGCTAACACCATGTGTATTTCCATGGGTGCATTTATCTCTGAATCACCCCAGCCCAGTCCCATGCCCGTGCTAAGCCACAGCCTGGCACATCAAGGGATGGCATCAACTGGAAGAAGGCAAACATGAACCTTGCAGGTAAGAGCTGTTCACTGACAGATCTCTTTCCTGAGTCTTTCTTTCATGGCCTTGATTACCTGATATCTTGTGGGCTTGTTATAAGCGTTCTTCACTGAAAAATTTTCTGTATTTCGAGTGCTAGAGTGAAAACGAACTTTCTGAAATTATAAAACATCATTATATAGTTAAATCAACGATAGCTTCTCATACCCCGACAGTCCCAAACTAAACAGAGCTTTATAAAAACAGTAGGAAATGGTTCAATGTCTGAGTAGAATAAAAGCCAGCATGGTTGGGTCTAAAAAGATAAACTTTTGAAAGATAAAAGTGTCAAAACCCTCAAATTATTGAAAATAATGGATTCTAAATGGTCTAGACAAAACTGATGTTCTCACACGAGTTTTAGACAAGAGATATTAAGAAACACAAAATATGTTAATCTAAAATAGATCGGTGATTATCAATTTATAACATAATTTCAGAAAGGAAGAAAAATAAATACTTATGTTTAAAGAGAACAAATCCATGTGGTACAAAAGCAAATTTGAAACAATAGATTTTCACTGGTTCTTTTAAAACAGCAGTACTATTTGCTACTTTTTTAGCTCAATAAAAATAGGCATTATTTTTAGATAGAGTAGTATTTTTTATCAGAGGACATCATAGCTCCTAATTTTGTACTCTAGAAGCTTCCAAGGATATTTTTCTGAAGACTACACACCATATTTATATCAGATCTCTTTGACTCTGTTATCCACCTCTGAATATTTTGGTTCAGGTACTAATGAAAAAAATAACTTGTTCAAAGGAATTAATTAATATCATAGACCCAAAGGACCCAACACATATCATTGTATATATATCTGAACCTATATGCAAGTGGATGTACAGGGAAAGCCCTGGTTAAGGGTTTTTCTTCCCTGAATGACTGAATGAGGGATCCTGAGAAATAGGTGATTTTTATTTTATTTTTTTAAAATCAGTATGCTGATGATGATTGGAATAAAAGGCTGAAGTAATCTTGTAATTATTTTTTTTAATTTCTCCCTCATAAGGTGTGCTATGCTCTTACAGGGACTGTTTTGAAGATAATCTGTGAACAAAATCAACAGGCAAGCAAGAAATGGCTGGTACTCTTAATTGTCTGTGTCAAACTATGGATTTTACATGAGTTCCATGAAAAAGGGCAAGCCAGACACTTTCACTCGTGTGGCTTGGGGAAGAAGGGGCTTAAAGAAAATTTTATTACTTTGGTTTATGCTTTGGAGCAGAAATTAAATTTAAAACAAAGCAAGCTTTTTGTGGTTGGCTTCAGATAACCTTTTAAAAATATTATATTTTTTAATCATCATTTGAGATAGTTAAAGGACAAACATTTCTTTATTTCAAGACTCCACTGTTCTAGTGGGTCTTTCAGTAATCAATAATAGTGTTAAATTAATTCATAGAGTAAAATGCACCCAAATGCTTGTCTACCTTGGCAATGCTTACTGTGTTGGGAAGATAAATTAACTGATAACATGGAGTGAAACCCCTGGATATACTTCTCCCTTCAATTTAGGCTCTGGCAGAGACTGAATGAACATCAGACCTGAGCAGTTCTCCTAAATTCAAGGGAGCATGATCTTCCCCAAGGCCATGGGCTTTGCCTGGAGCTGGATGGTTCACCATGAGTTGTATTGCTCAGCCTTCAAGGAGAGCCAAGAGATCCAGACAAAGCCCCAAAGCAGGCTGCACATTACAAAGGCAAATGTAAAGTCTCCTCCAACCTTCCTTTCCTTCTCCTAGGTCTCTTGGTCTCTTTTATTACACCTTTTCCCTTTTGAAAGCTTAAAACTGGGGGGTTGGCTGCCGAAATCTCAGTTGAAGAGTCCCAATGTCCCTCACTTCTTCCCTCTCTTGTGCAGTGCCACACAGCTGGGGTTTTCAAGCCTAGGTGGATGGGTCTAAGAGCAGGCTGCCCTAAAAAGGCTTTCCAGCCTGGTAAGGAGCCACACTCGCCTCTCACGTGCAATGAACTTAAAAATAAGAGCGAATACCTTTCAGAGGGCTCTTCTTTTTCCCCAGGAATGGGTTCCTAGTGTTATTCTTTGGTTTCAAACCCAGCTTGAGCTAAGAAACTAAATAACACTTTTAAGCAAAGCTGCCTCCTCGCATTTTTGAACTCTGAATTTGATGATAGTAGGTGAGCAGCTGTGGTTGAGTTCTATGAATGTTTGGGCCTTTTCTCCTCCAATGTAAAGCAGGTGGACTTGTCCTGTGACTGGGATTGTGTTTGTTACAAATTTATGTGCTAGGGATGCTTTATCCCAGTGACACACTGCACTGTGTTGCAGATAATAATTTCCACAAGCAATATCATTTTCTCTAATTTCTCTGGCATTTTCCCATGGGGGAGCAAAGCTAATTCTGTTGGGAAGAGTCTTTATGCTAACCACGTTCTTGCATCAATCTTGCTTTGTCATGCAGACACTTGCTAGTGCTGAGGAGAGAGTGCTGTTGTGTAACCAGTATTTCCAAATCAAATTTCTATTTCAAATGACAAAAGGGGCAGTGGCTGAGGCAGGATCTACCCGTTAGTGGCTACACATCACTAGGCAGATGGAAGTAGAGAGATTGTTAATTATAGGTATTTAGGAGGTGTTATCAAGCCCTGCTTGGAAACTTGTTCCCAAACCTGGAATGACAGAAAATGTTCTAATGACAGCAAAATGAATTTGGAAATCACTTAAAGGAAGGTGGATGTTTAGAAGAGGTATAAAGGGTTGCTGGGTAGATGAGGAGCCGGACAAGCTGGGATGTTATTTGTGCCTCAGCTTGTGCCCTTTGACCTTGCTTATGTGGCCTTGGGAAACTCCCTTGTAAAAGTGCCTGCTTTTATAAAAGTTGCTCTTTTCCCAGTGCCCTGACAATGTCTAGTACAATGAGGCCACAAGACCCTCTAGGTTTAATTATAGTAATATAAATAATATGTAATGATGAGGCAGATTAAGGGGCTGTGCTCTCCGTGATCTACCTGTGTGCAATACAACCCCCTCCACAAGGTCCATCATTAATCTTTTCTACAAAGAAAGTGAAAAGTGAAGATACAACATACCCGTTGTTTGGAATTCAGCATCCCCATCTCAAGATCATTTTCACAGTTTTTGGCCTTAGATTTACAGAGTTTTATGAGGCACATTTTTATTCTCAGTATGAGATAATAAAATGATTTAGGGCTTGGCACTAGATTAAAAGGAGCAGGTAAAGTCCTTCCTTCATCAAAGTAGGATAGCCAGAGCTTGGCACGTGCAAACTTCCACTCCACATCTGCATCCTCCTTGGGAAGGGAAGAGAAAAAAACAAAACAAAACAAACAAAACCCATCAAAATGCATAATTAGTAAATAGGAAGGAATTTAGATATGACAAGGACAAACATACAGGTAGGATTTAACTAGAATCAGATTTCTGTTTGCCAAACCAAGACCCCCTTCGCACAGTATGTCTTTGTAGGCTTCTGTGTGGTAGTCTCAAAATAAGGAAAATTTGAACAAAGCAATGGATAAACAGAGAGTATATGTCCTTCAGATACTAAACTATTGCCTATTTTTCCTTGGATACCAAAGGGGTTGTCTTCCACTAACAATCTGGTGCTTGTGCTATGCTAATAAATGAATGTTTCAGAATATAGTCACAAAAAGCAGAAGAAACTGTTATGTGCACAACAACAACAACAACAAAGACTGTCTCTGATTAACTGCAATGCTACCTAACTGCCAGCTAACTGTTATCCCTGCAGTTGCCAGGAACCCCCCATAGAAGAGGCTAGGTCAATGATTTCTTCTAGTATTAGCTGACCATTAATCCTGTTGGCATTCACCATCACCTATCCCTAGATCAACACACCTTAATTCTAGATCAATACACCTTAATTCTCTTACTATTCACGTCCTGCCACTGATGAAGTGGCATCACTCAGTGTCTGTGAATCTCCTTTTTGAACTATCAAGGTGGGTCACGATCACTTCCAAGCACAAGGGCAAGGTTAGCACATGCTTCACAGATCTGCTTGGCATTTGTATAGGAGGATGGTCAGGGCCATGTATCAGGGCCATTTATCAGGCAAAAGAAAGGATGAGATACAGCTGCTCTACAGCTGTTTTCATTGTGGTTTATATGGAGCATCAATAGAAGCATGGCTCTGCCAACACCCCATACTCATGTACATCTGTGTTCTGCTGAAATTAATAACCTCTGATTACTCTCTACCTCTGAAACCCAGTCAAAAACTGGCATAACACAATTGAGATTAATTCTGTCACAGTTACAGCAATATGTCTTCGCCAATGAAGCAGCATTCACTTCTGACATTTGGACTTATTGCTTGGGGTTGCACCTCACAGATGCCTTAAGCTGAATTACAGTGGAAATCACTTGTGAACTGTTTTAGTGATTTTCTCTTAAGCAGCTAAGGAGCTACTGATAGAATTAGTTCTGGTTTCTGGCTGGCAAAAGGATTTTTTTCTTTCCATAAATGCAAAGTTGGCAGGAAGCACTAATACTTGAGGCATAAACAGAATAAAAACAGAAGTAGCTGAAGAGAGACGTTGAATGGAAAGCATGAGATTATGATCTTGTCACTCCAGCTAACAGTAAAATATATCCCCACTGACCATAATAGGAATTAAATTCCTAAGTAATGACCACTCGCTGTTGCTGTTGACATTGCTGTCATCAGATAAACACATTGGCAAAAGGAACTTTCTCTGCAGTCAGCAGAATGACTTTGTCTTTAATCTCCCTGCTAAAGAGTATTGAAAGGAACTAGTATGAGATTTACTAGTTTTTCCCAGTCCACAACTAGGAGGATCTGGGCCAAATAGCTCACATTTGTTTTGTTTGCTGACAGCTACAAGTAGTCTTTAACAACGTTTTGAAAATTTCCATGCAATCAAGAAGGATGATAAAGCATTTTTCCAGAAAAATGGTCATCACAAAGTTTAGACTAGAAAATTAATATAGGCCATCTCTTCAGGTATTTTTAGAGTTTTTTTCCTTTGGAAACTTTCAAGAACAACTTTATCTACTACAATAAATTAGAAAATGCAGTAAGAGGCTGAGACCCCTTCAGAAATAAATCTTGATTCAGTAGAAGAGGATTCAGGAAGATGCTTGATTTTAAATTATTAGAAACCTTTGGGGAAATGGCTTTTCCTTCTGCAGGCAGGAAAGCTTCTAGGGCAGAGAACATATGTAAGGTCTTTCTGACATTTAGACTTAGTTATGGCACACAAAAGATAGAGTTATATTTGCACTACAGTAGATGGATGAATCAGACATTTCCGTGAGAAAATATTTTCAGCTCTGGCCTTTTTCAGTGTCAGGTTTTGAGGGGAGATTAGAACAAATAATTAATACAAACCCAACTACGGAAACTTGACATTTAACAAATCAGAAGAAAGAGGTGACTCAGCATCAACGTTATCCAAATATTTTTCTTTTCTGCCTTTATTTACATTAGCAGGGAGTTGTTTATATCCAAAGCATTTAGCAAATCCAGTTTGCTAATAGCAACGCTACTGAACAAGGCCGAGTAAACCTTGCAAACACCTTTCTGCAGAAACCTGTTCACATTCCTTGAGGGCTGTGTTCATAACCTTTACAAGTTGCTTTTTGTGAATGTACATGTAATTATGTTTTGAAGACCTAGACGCTCCTCAAAAAAAGTCTGTATCAAGATTGTATGCCTGGTATTTGGAAAATATGGAATTTTAAAATATACATACATGAGCTTTAGACCTACATGGGCTTCAGTGTTTAAGCAGTAGAGAACATGGGAAAAAACAGATGAAATATTACTCTACCATGAGCAAACAATGCAGCTAAGGTAACAAACATGGGTAAATTATCATAACAATCACAGGCAGTAAAAAATATCAGAAATTGCTTTCATTAAATACATGTAGAGGAAATTGGGTTTACTCAGAGATGATCATCAAAAACAAGGAAGTTGAAGTTGTTCTAGGAATGATTTATTGTTAATTATTAATTCAATCCTAATCTGGGGAGGACAGACAGAGCCTTAACTCTTACACCATGTAAAGTCTGTTTCAACAGCACTCTAATCTCGCAAATGGAATAAGATACAGCTTCCTTGTTTTTGTAAAGTTTTCATTATCAATCATAATTAAGTACATTGAGTTTGTAATCTAATCTTACCTCAATTTCCTGATAGGAGTTGTTGATCATGGCTATTAGCATATTGAGCAGCACCACCACCATAGTCACATTATATACTCCATAGAGTACGTATCCAATATTCTCAATGAATTTATGATCGTACTTCAGCACCACAGATATCACTTCAGATAAGCCAAATATTGACCAGAATAAGGTTTTAAAACTTTCTTCTACCCTAAAAATAAAGCAAACAATCATTTTATGGAGATGACACCAAGTTAGCCAGGCCAAATGCTGACAAAAAAAAGTGACAATCCACTAATATAAATATGATGCCTTGGCACAGTCATTGGAAGCCTTTATCCATCACCCAGGGATGCGCCAAATCATATTTCCTGATTTGATAAAGATATTATCAAGTTACAGTCACCCCTTATTTGCTCCATCTGTTCTTCTCAGGTGTATTATTTGTCAACTGGATTTTGTGTTCCTATTAAGGACTTCCTCACGGGCAACTTGCAGTTTGAAACTTTTTGTGTAGAGCTTTTTAAATCTACTCACTCACCCTTTTCTCATCCAGAGAAGACAAGTAGAGATTATTTGGGAAAGGGAAGAAGGAACCACGTTTGACCTCCTTATATGTGACTTCCAGGGCTGAAGAGAAGCATTACTTTTTACCCAGGAAGAGTGACTGAAAAGTTCTAATTAGCAGCATTAATACAATGAGCACACAGTGCAAATATAGTCAGATCATAGTCTGATTTTCTTCCCATCCTGCTTTGGGACTGCAAAAATGTCAGATGCCCAAGCATTTGTAGGAAAAAAATGAAATTAAGGGGTGGTAGAAGATGTTGCAGAGAGGCATTTTTAGTTATTACCCCTGCTTGAAAGTAGAGAGGAACCAGAGGAAAATAAAAAGGTTGAAAGACAGGGAAAAAAAAGTGGGGAATAAATCAATGGGAAAGAGAAGTGGGACTGGAAAGGATGCAGCTGGACTGATAGGTCAAAAGGAGAGTCTGATTCAGAGCAGTCAAAGCTGTAACACACAGAAGGGGAGAAGCCACAACTGAAAAGGAAGGAAGGAAGGAAGGAGGAGGGAGGTCTGCTGGTAAATTTTGGAAGCAGTTTGATTAATCTTTAATTTTAAAACAATTTTGCCTTCACTGAACACTCCTCAGCATGTTAACAGTTAATTACCTCCCTTTCCCCCTGCCTGCCAGGAGTTAACCATCTTCTAAGAAAACAATGCCATTTACAAACTATTTTGATGAAATGTTGTTTAACTCGAGTGGCAACCTAATCCTGCTAAATCTGTTCATAAAACCAGATTATAGACACAAACTACGACACATCCTAAGAGAACAATAAGCTTTACATCAACTCCAGTATCAATTACACCATGCATGAAAATAAAAGGAATTGATTGCAACCCTTTGAAAGGCTAGTGCAGAGCATTGGGTAATTCCTTTCTGCCACAGGGAACTGCTATTTATCACCCATCATAATTTATGGTATTCCATATTCCATTTACAAGTAGTAGTCAGACTGCAGTAAATATTTAGATATCATTCTCAGCCAGTGTAACTCCAATGACTTGTAGGGAGTAACCCTGAGGGGCGTTTCAAAGACCTGCCACACAACTTCATTTAAATTGTGGCTTTCTCTTCAGTCCCCACGAAGAGTTCCCATGTGTGGTTGGGACACCACACAAAGATACACTTGTGGGATGAGCTACAACTGGGCTGTAGACAAGTGCCATCACTTTTTCACTTGATGGACATTTCCTCTCCTGTAACATTCTACTCTTGTCTCCTGCCCTCTTCTGCAGGGAAGGGTAGCTAGCATGAATCTGTCAGATACCCTGTACTTCTGCCATAGCAATCTGGCCAGTGCTTATTCTATTAAATATTGTACTTTCCAGTTAAAGAACATATTAACACCAAAAATCTCTGGCTTTGAAATCTGCTGCCTAAATCACTTCTCAAACTAATAAAAACCATAACCCCCAGCCTTGATCCCAGCTGCCCCCTGCTATTAACATTTCTTCTTTAATTTGGAAAGGTTCCCTTAGTTTTCCACCCCGCTGGCAGATTTTAATACAATGTGTCAACTCTGCTCCTTTTCCCAGTTTAAACATTATTAACCTGTGTTCTGGAGTGGTGCCAGAATCTCTTTGAAATGTTAATTAAGGACTGTGAGCAGCCCTGACTGCCCAGAGCACTGCAGAAGAGGAGGGCAAGGGACAGGGTGCTGGGCTCCAGTGCAGCCCCTGTGCTCCTCTGCAAATGTCCATAGTCCTTATTCCTAGTGTCAGGTAAGGGACAAGAACATATGGTGGTGGGACTGGGAAGGTGGTGTGAGAGGTGGACCTGACCTGAAGCACCCCAAAATAGTGCTTAGCAATGTCCCTAGGCAGATCTGCTTCTTGTAGAAGAAACATTTCTAAGGAGACCTTGTACTAATCCATCACTACCCTCCAAAAAGGCTGGGTGACTCTTTCTCTCTCTCTTTTCAATTACTGCCAAATTGCACGAGATTTGGCACGGGTCACAGGGAACATCAGTTGTTTCTTTTTTTTTTTTTTGAGAACATCTCACTAAAACACCAGTCGAGGATGTTTCGAGCCAAGTTCTCAAAGATTCCAAGATGCTGATGTGTCTCATCATTGCCAGCTAAGCAATTTACCCCCTTCCTGCAGGGTCAGCGGGTGTTTTATCCTTCTCAAAGGCAGACAAATGAAATAACAGAGGAAGTCAGGAGTTCTGCCCAGGCTGACAGCTCCTGGTAGCAGAAGGATCTGGCCTTGGCAGATTGACTGATGTTCCTTGTGGAGATGGGTACCTGCACTTTCTACGGTGCTAGAGCTGATTCTTGATGTGGGGAGAGAGCAAAGAGATTTTTTTGTTTGTTTGTTTCAGTACTCATAGTCCTGTAAAAGTTAAACAAAGATTTTGCATCAAGGAAGAAAACAGACCATAGGCGTTCATCTAGTTGCAGATTTTCCTCGCTTTTGTAAACAAACAGCAGTGAGCTGCTCATCAAAAAAGATCACGGCAAAGCTGTGATTTCATGTCAATCTTGTGTCCTCTGCTTTAAGAAAGCTTAAGGCATCCTTTCAGCTGAGTTATTTCCTTAAATTGATTGGTTGAGATGTAACACTGCCAAAAAAGCAATGCAGTCAATATAATCTAAAAAAACCATCACATTTTGACAAAGCAAAATGAGAAGTAAAAAGCCTTCAGGCCTCAAAATAACATTGGCACTGAACAGTGAGTCACATTTCCCTTTGGGGAGAAGGAGACAGAAAACCTCTCGTTGTAGCCTTCAGCCTGATTTGTGATGCAGAAAGCAAGATGAGCACAATCAGTCTTGCCTCCATTTCGATTTTGTTTGCATAGCATGTTCTTAATTACAGGCTGTTTCAAGGGCTGTGTTCTGTACACAGCATACAATAAACAGATAAACATAGCTGGGGTCGCCTGCAAAACACTGAAGAACTTACAAATTTTTTTTTGAAAGTATACCATGGTTAGTTAAATAATTTTTGTATTTAACTGTGTGAAGTAAAGTCTCCTGCATCTTTGTTTCCTTTGCATCCAGAACATTAAAATGGAAGAAATGACAGAAACTATGTCTGTGACTATCAAACTTTGTCTTTGATAACTCAATTCAGAGTTGCGACGTGGTCCCTCTGTAGATGACAACACAAGCAAAACAAGAGCACGTGAATTCAAAAGTGCAATAGCAAGGGAAGGTGAAAGTTACACCAAACACTCACTGATTATTATCATTAGAACCGAGTGAGTGATTCCCTCTGAGTGGTATCTGGACAAATGTGCACTCTTTTTCCTGCCTATGTACTGTCCTGGGAAGAGGTGGTTTTCTTAAATGTTTAGTTCAAAGTTATTTCAGTGAGTAGCTGTTTGCCTAAGGTTTCTCACTGGGGCTGTCCAGTGCGCTCCCACTTCAATACCCTTTGAAACTGGCCACAATCAATTGAAAATATTTAAAACATCGAACTGTTCAACTGGCCGCAATCAATCAGCACACAAATCCAATGGGTTGTTTGCTGTCCTGACTAGAATCAGGTTCCATAGTCAAATAGTCACATTTCTGAGTATAAAACTTGTTTTCTATAAGATTTCACCCATCCTCATTAGAATTGCACAAACATATCCACCAGGAAATGCATTCAGTGACATCTCTGAAGTCACAGAATGGTTGTGAGGACACCAAAGTAAGCGTTATTCTTCTCTGCCCCAGTGAATTTTCAGTGAATGAACAGTTGAGCACCTATTCAGCTCTAATACTGAAATCTGCCTTCTTTTCACAAATAAGTTAATAGCAGCAGCACCCCATCACCTTCAGCAAGACCCACAGGCAGCTCCCAAAAAATAGAGAAGGAAATGTTGCTAGAGCTGGTTGCTGCCCATCTGCCAACTTTGTCTTAGCTTATTAAAATTGTTTGTATACCTCAGTGTTTCTAGCTTGTTGAATGAGATGTCTGAGAAGGATTTTCTGGATGAATGTTAATCTATTCTCTTTGTTTCATGGGATGAAAGGGCTCATTTTCACTGATCATTATTTGACACTCCTGCGTGTTTAAACAATCAGAAGAAAGTAAGTTTATTTAAAATCTCTTCTAAATTCTTAAAAGGAAAATATATGCTCGTGGAAAATTTGCTTCATAACGACACAAAGTCCCCCCAGAATAAGTAGTCACCAGGCTGAAGTTAAGGAGGGAGAGCATTGCCCTTTGACAAGACTCTTCACAATCCAAACATCCCTGGAGCATCTTGACTCCAGTGAGCAGTCATCAGTTTAGTAAACGTTTGCTCATTATTTCCATGAAAAGATAGTAACTACTGGAAGATCCACTTAGATAATGAGTGCTAATGAGAGAGTTACTGCATGGAATTGCATCAGAGACTGGAATTTGTCAGTGAGGTGCTCTAGCAAAGTGCCTGGGGAATACCATAATTGAGGATTACTGTGGTACCAGGTAATCAAGGTATCAACTCAACTTATTAAGCCTTGTGCTTCAAGGGCATCTCCATCTCTCCAAATAAGAAGCAAGTCACATCCCACACTCAATTTTCTTCTACCTTACTACCCAGCATAGATAAATGTAATTGCATCTGTCTTAATAAATCCTTCCATTAAAATGTATCCTGAGGTTACAGGAGAGGTCTAGAAGGCATATGTGGCTCAATTAGAAAAAGCAAACATTATGTTACAAGGGACATTTTGCACAAGAGGGTGGTGTGGTCAAACTGGCTCAGAAGCACACAGAATGGCTTCTGGGCATTTGGAAGGAAACAGCCACTCACAGGGCAGAAATGATGCTGAAAAGGTCATTTCTCCTAGAGGAGCTACGAGCTAAGCTCCCAGCTCGCCGTGTGACACGTTGGAGAAATGACACATCAAACACCAGCTGCTGTCTTGCTCTGCAGCTGGTAAATGCTGTGGGCTCAGGCATTAGTAACATGGAGTGGTTGCCTGGAAGTCACAACATAGCAAGGGAAAACATTATGCCAAGATTTTCTCTTCCTTCACAGACAGGTGTGTGGGAAGGAAAGCCTCCACCGTGTCCGTAAGACAAGTCATGGTAGTTTTGTGAGACACAAAGCTGACTGCCATGGTGCTATGCTGGTGACACATCCCAGTGCAAGGGAGGAGGCTTTCCTATGGATGGATGGGACACATCCCTCAGACACAGCAGGGGACCAGGCTGTCCCCTCCTCTGAAAGCTCCTTCAGGACCTCAGCTGTCTCCCACAGCATTGGAGCTTGGATTCCAAGGGTCTTGGAGAATCAAGACTGGATTTTGTCCCACCTCTGAAGGGCTGTAGTCTTTCTCTTTTCAAAAGCAGCCTCAGACTGAACCTCATTCCAGAACCATTCGCAAATATCTTTCTCTTCCCAACATCCCTGACAAAGTCAAGACAGGACATCCAGTGTGGCCACCTCTGCAGGGCTGTGTGGCCACACAGCAAGCACTGATGGGTGACTGATCCAGGCAGACCCACTGCCCAGCGTGGCCAGTAACCTGGCAGGGTGCTCCATGCAGCTTTCACATGGCCTCTGCTGAAAAGTTCCCAGTCAGGATTTAAGAAACACAGCCCAGTTTGTTTTGCTTTCTTAAGCATCACTTCTAGCAGCTGGCTCAGTAGATGTGCACCTTATAATCACAGCGGAACAGAGGTGGTGTCCTAAACTAGACGTCTCATAAGCAAAATCCTCACTTATTTCACATACATTTCAGCCTACAGTTTTAAGAACAGTAACCATAGGTCTAACATCTTCTCCATTGCTTCTCTTGACTCATTAAACTGGACATCTCACAAAACATTTTCCTGATCTGTGATTTTGATTTCTAGAAGTAACCATTTCTGAACTACACGTCTCCCTATACTCAGGCCTTAAGCTGACTGCCAGGGATGGAAGCTGTGGTACAAGTTTCCCTGGCAAAATCTGAATGTGACTTCCCCACACAGCTGGAGTAGAAACTATCTGAGCAGACTTTGCAGCAGCAATGGACCAGAATGAACTGAGCCCTTCAAGAGCAACCGCTTTTTCCGCAAGTACTCACGTTGTAAACGCGGGGTTGTATTTTGCACCAAGGTAGTAAGAGTAAAGGTTGAACATTCCAATCATGAATGCCAGGAACACCATGATGAAGATGACCATGAACTTGAAGATATCCTTCACAGTCCTCCCCAAAGAGATCTGCAGGGGGCCGAAGCTTTCGTTGGCTGGAAGAATGTAAGCAATGCGGGAGAAGCTGAGTACCACAGCTATTGCATACAGTCCTTCTGAAATGATCTGAGGATCCGAGGGAAGCCACTTGTTCCTGGCTAAAACAATATACGTACATTAGATATTAGTAATGAAAAGTGTTAGATGGAAGTTATGATGATCAATGACCCCTTTTCAAGACTTAATCTTGGTTTTGGCCAGAAGTTAAAGGCAAAAAAAAAAAAGGGTTTGGAACAATTGGTCACTGCAGTCCTCAGTATGTTGTACACATATGGGTGAGAAGAAATAGTTGTATTTTTCACATGGTAAAGATGAGAAATGAGCAAGTCACTGGGATTTACCAAAGTCACACAGCAAAATATTGCATGGCTTTAAACAAATTTGATATTTTCTGTTTCCTAGTTGAACATCAACTGTGCTGTGACTTCTCCGTCTGAAATTCTTGATATGGAGAATCAAAACCATAACACAGTGGAGTTTGGCTATAGATTTGGATACATGGCACTGTGTAAATATTTGGAAAGGAAGCATTAGGGAGACTGAGATTTCTATCCCTTCCATGAGACAAGAAAGTTAGTATTTGTTCAGATAAAACTGTTATAACCATCAAGAGTATCATTTTCATGTTATCTTTAAATTAAAAACAATTCTTGTAGTCCAGTCACTCTAACATATTTACTTTAAAAATCTTCTTGTTGATACCAGATATGCATCATTTATTTAATTTACTGAAAATTTCAACATTTATATTAATAAAGCTTGTAAGTGTCCTTTCACCAACTGAGCTTCTTGATGAAAAGACTGTGACTCAGACCTAAAGCATGTGACATCTTTAAGGACACAGCAATAAACTTAGGCATTAGTTTCAGTAGTCTGAACCAAAGAGAAGCAGAGGAAAACCGCAGCATCATCTCAGAGGCCTCTTGCTTGCTTGGACAAGGAGATGGAAGTTTATCTGTTGTGGGGTCAGGGCACAAGTCTCTGGTGCTGCATGGTGCATGTCTACAGTGGATGAAGTTTCCTGCCCCAGATTTTCCTCTCCAGCCCAAGAACATTGCTAAAATAATAAATTACCTTACAACCTTAGGGAGCAAATTGTGCTCCTTCATGCTCAGCTCTCTAGCTTCTGCAGCCCCTACATGAGCAAAAATCCCCATGGATTTTGCTCAGGGTTAGATCTAAAGCTTGGAGAGGCATGCAATGAATCCAGTCCCCACTCTGGAGTCCAAGGCTCTATTTGTTTGTGAAAAATCAAAGAAAAACCCTTTCAACCATCAAGAATAATGTTGTCAAGGCTATGCTACTGCTTGCATTTCCAAATGTTAGCACTTATCGATGTTATAGACTCTCCAAAATAAAGGTTTTCCTCTTGGAAGAGCAGCAGTTTATGGGTGTAACTTGTTTTTGTATTTACTTTACACAAATGTTGGATGTAAGTGGTGCAGAGTGAACCAATAGTTAGAAATGAAGCTCCAGATCCTATGTTCACACATCTCCCCGCTCACACATTTGGAAAACCAAGCAGGTTCATTCATCTTTAATTTAAATTATATTCTGCTCACTCCCAGTTCCTGATTATTTATTGCTCAAGCTATTTTCTCAGGATGTGATTGACCTGAATGAAGCCTTAGCATAAGATCAGAGACTGAACAAGGCTCAGATCTCAGTTTCTTTCTGACTGTTTAGGAAGGTGGCTGGAATGGGTAGATCTGAGAAGAATAATTTGGTTTAATTAGAAAAAAACCTGTCATAAATATCACAAAAAGAAAGCTGCTTTCAGCACTACCACATATTAAGAGGAGGCATTAGATAGCAAAAAGCATCTTACCATAAGTAAAGTAAGCAACTTCAGGGGGAAGGGTGACATTATTGAGGTCATCATCTTGAACGTACTGATCTACGTACTGTTGTGCTTCAGTCGCTTTGAGAAAAGCCATGAACCTGGCAGTGAAGGATGCCACGAAGATGGACAGCATCCCAAAGTCCAGCAGGTTCCAGAGATGCACCACATATTCCCGTGGCCCTTCTTCCCAAATCTCCTTGCACTCTGACCATATCATGCCTGTGGAAAGGCCAGAGAACATTTAACCAGCAAACACAGAAGGTGCTTTTTGTATTCAGACAGAGCCATTTCCTGGCTAACAATGGCTTCTAAGACTAAAGCAAATAACTCTTCAGTTAAACTGAATTTCTTGAGAATGGTTCATGTTATCTTTTCTTAAAAATTATTGAAAGCTTTAAGCTTATATTTTTTTTTGTGCATATGAGGTAGAAATTTAAAAAATTCACTATATAAGTCAATGGTAAAGTAGATTTCTGGTGATGTCAGAGAAAGCACAGGAGGACACAGTGAGGACACTAGAAAGCCTATTGCTGATCTATTTGGAAAAAATGTAGATTTCCTCTCTTGTCCCCAAAATCTCCTTGCTAAACTGTGCCACTGAAGAGGGTACTGTTTGCTCTGCTGCTGTTTTCCTCCTTCCCTAGAATAGTGGGTGAGTCCATTTTGAGAATAGAAATAGATCTTTGGAAAAGAAAATCAGATCCACGAGTAAAAGCAGTATGATTAGAGAAAAGGGAAGACAGAAGTTCTGCCCTTGCAGTACTTTTCAAAAAGTTTTATATATTAAATAATAATGACGTTCCATACATTAAAGTCTGATCTACCACTTTGAAAATCCTGAGACAACAGAGATAAACTCAAATGCCAAACTTAGAAAACTGGAATGTTTTGACATTCAGGTTCTACTGGGCAGTGCTGGGGAGGACGAGTGAATGGCCAAACAGGTCAATGGGCAAACTGGAGCCAAGAGCTCAGGTCAAATTCACCAACTTGCCCAACTTTCAATCACAGCAGGGCTCTAGGGCCAAAATCTCACTTCTGAATAGCTAAAATATTGGAACATTTAACCCACTGATAAATATTTCCTGCACTTTACCCAATTTTGTTTCCATAGCAGCAGCAGCAAAATTCATGTTTAATCAAGCAGGAGCAGCGCCTGCCAATTTCCATGTGGCCTCCTGCAACCTTGTCCTTTTTGTGAACTCTTCTTCATCCTCTTTGCTGGAAGCTCTCATGGTGTGGTATGTAAATGCATTTGCTCAGCTACTTCAGAGACTCCTGGAAGCACATGGTGTCCCAAGAGGCACAGTCAAAGGCTGGGTCATAGGGAAGGAAACAAGTCAGTGTGAATCTAGCTGGAGGCTGGAGAAATGAAGAAATGCTGCTGCCAGTCCTTTTGCACTGGGAAGGGTTTAAGAGAAAAAGGAAAGCTAAGCTATCAATAGCACCAGCGGCCAAGGCACCACTAGCCTGTGACCTCCACAGCCCTGGAATCTCCAGGCAGGTCTTGGGAGTTGTACCATAATATAGGTTATGCCCCATAAAGATATGTCTTGGGAGAGAGCCTGAGATCAACTAGGTGCTGAGCAGAAGCAGAGGGAGGGCAGGAGAAGAGCCTACCAGCTCTTCTCCTCAAGTCTGCAGGTGGTTGACTGAGTAAAAGCAAGAACTTCATCCCAATCCATCACTCACTGTGAGTGAGATTTAATAATAAATAGTCTAAGAGAGAAGGTGGAAGAATTGGTTTCTTAGGAACTGTCCTGGAGTGAAGATGAAATATTAAAGAAACATTTCTAGTTAAAACAAAAAGTATCCCAGAAGTGATAGATAGGAGACATTAGCCCTACACATCATGCTTGCGTGTCGTATAAAGATACTAAAGCATTTCAGGAAATGTCACATGCGTGGTGACATTGCTGACCAGAGTACTTGTTCACTGACTGCTAGAAATGTCTTTTCTGGTTTAAATATTAACTCTCCCATCCAAATTTATTTCTAATCTTCGTCACTTAATATACCTAAGTCACAGATTAATGAAGTAAGGAATGTCTAAATCTGAATAGACTGACTAAAATTAGAATCACTCTGTGAAAGTATCACACTATTGGCCTATAATTTACATCATTCTTTTTGACAACTTTGTGGCAATCATTTTTTATCCATGCATATGGAAAAATGTCTATTCAGGACAAGTAGAAAAGTTACAGTAATTATTTGGTCAGTACTGCTGGGTCATTGTATATACATTGTGAGAGAGTAATTCGAAGCTTCTGCTTAAGTAAAATTACTGAAGACTAGAAAAAGCAGCTAAAATTCAGGGGATGAGATGTAAGAGCAAAATAAGGAAAGGCAAGTCAGGTAGAGTAGATTTGCCAGGATGTGACTGCATTTCAATACAATGGTTCTGAGGCACCTGACAGCTCTGAGTGAGGTCGTTTCGCTGAGTCTGATGCCCAGAGAGATGGGATCTGAGGAGCTCCTGCTCTCCAGCTTCTCTGCGTCTCTTGTGCCTGTTCTCCCACAGTGGGGACAATCAGAAATGTCACCTTGACAGGCATTTCTGATTTCAGCAGGGGAAGGAGAGTCAAGCTACAGACACAGCCCATTACACTTGCTGGAGAGCTTTGAGCCTTCCTGGATCCACCAAAGGCTGTTGGATGAAGAGAGAGAGTTGTGCTCAGGTTGCATCTACCCAGAGCTTAACTGCTACCTTGGCTGCTTTTGCAGTGGGGATTTGTCTCTGTAAATAAAACATATCTGTTTCCAGTGCACACTATTGTTCATATTGCTCACAAGGAAAATCCCAGCCTTCCTTACTTGAAGGAAAGAGGTGGGAACACCTGGCCATAGGGGGAGAGGTAGCCAAGGCATACAATGAGCCACAGATGCATGAGCTGAAATTACTGTGCCCCAAGTATGAAGGGGTAAGTTCTCCTTTCAGGGCATTGCAGTATTTCTCTGCACTGACAGATTTATCATCTGCAGCCCTTGGATGCATGTTCATAACAAAGAGGAGTGAGATCAAAAAGGCATTCTTCTGCCTAAAATGCTATTGTTTGTCTGGCTGTTCATGGGGACGTTAAATGGGCTACCAACACTACCTGGCTGATCCAGCAATGGTCTACAGCCATTTCAGAGGTGCAGGTCAACTGAAAATAAAGCTTCTGATATGGATTTTGGGGACAGGATGAAGTGCCTGCCTGGCTGCAATTCATTACCTCTGTTTGGTTTACTCCATTACCTGCATGCATTAAAAATAATTGGGAGCAGGAGACGGCAATAGTATCTTTTTTGCGTAACTCCAGTCTGAAATTGTCCTGCTGGTAGTTTTCTCTTAAAAGTTATACACATGGGTCAATTTTCATATCTGCAGCAAGATTAATTGCAGGGACTGCTATTACAGGTTGTGCTCACTTGTGGCCACACTATGCTATGCTAATGTAGCATATTATCCTCAGAATGCTATTCTGAACATAATTTTATGGTTGACAGCCAGATAACTCAGACAGCCAATTTTCTCCCCAAAAAAGAATCAAGATCAGGACCTGTAAACTAATTTCTCAGAAATGGTCTGCTATAGTTGGAACAAGTAATGTGTCATCAGCATTCATCATTGCTGTCATGGTATGAAGGAGAAAAGAGAAAGAACGGAAACAGAAGGAAGGGATTTACAAGCTGAGAATAAATAAAATTACACTTTTTGATTGTACTACGAATGGAAATGTAGGGAGCACACCTACGCTGTTGAGTCTGAAGACAGCAACTGCAGGTGTTGTCAAGTAGGATTAAATAGAGCTATGTATATTTACTACACAAGATTTAGATTTATTATACTTTAACATATATTTACTCTCTACTTATATTTGCCTATTTAGAAAAGCATGTCTTGGCAACTTTACCTGTGATATTTACCTATAGCATTTATTTAATTATATTTCTACTTATATATGTATATTTATAATACCTATAGGATTTTTACACCAAAAGGCTGGGCAGTCTACCACTCTTAGTTCTTTTACAGTCCTTAAAGTTCTGGGTCCCATATGGTGTTCAGCATGTCCCCAAGCCCCCATGCCAGCTGTCTGCAGGCCACGTGCACCAGACTTTCACCTTAATATTGCTGAAACATTATTTGAAGCCTTATGGAGGCAGACAGGTAAAATGGCCAGAGAAGACTGTCAGTGCTGATGTAGGCAGTCATTAGAAAATCTCATTATATTCAGAAGTCTGTACAATGAATCACCTTTCTTTTCCCAGAAAAGTGAAAACCTTCACTTCAAATGAAATGTTCTCTTCATCTCTCAGGAACTCACCAGGCAGACAGATACCTACTGCCTATAAGAAAAGAATATCTAGTCTAAAATCTAATCATCTTGTCCAACTGCTTTAATATCTTTTTAAAAATATATCTTACAAGCTTACTCTATCCAGTCTGGCATCTATTCCGTATTTTCTAGCCTAATATCCTGTATGGGATTCTGGTTATTGCAGGGACAGTTAACAAAGGAATGGTGGCCAGGAAGTCATCAGATAGAGCAGCCCTATCTTATTTTTTAGGGGAGTTTAAAGCCATCAGTATTTATGGAACAGTGGAATTATTTGCTGCAAGAAGAGAATCACAATCATGGTGGTGAGAAAAAATAACTACAGAAGAGGAAGACAGAGATTCTGCAGAGTTGCTAAGCTCAGTTTCCCAATAAATCCTTCTGAGCTTGTTTAGATCAGTGGTTAAATGTAGCTGACCTGCCAGGAATGAATTGCAGCTATAGGAAAAGTAATATATCTGAATTTGCCTAAAACTCCCTGGAAGTTTAACTTGTGCACGTGACATACTTTTGCACTTGAAGGGTTCATCCACATGATTTCCTACTTTATAATTGTTAGATAATTTAATTTCTTTTAAAAGATTTGAGTGCTGTGCTGTCCTCTCACCAGTAATAATTTAATACTATGAATGTCATAAAATCCAGCTCTTACTTACCTAGTAGTTTTCATCACTAGATCTCAGAGTACGTTACAAAAAAGTAAATAACAATATATCCATTCTGCAGATGAAGAAACTGAGGTTCAGTGAACTATAATAGGCTCTCAAGGCAGGGTAATAAAACAGGCTGGTGGTCACCCACATCCCAATGGACACATTTCTTTCATCTCACTTTAGATAGAGCAACGTCCTATAGTGAAGTTATAAGTTTCTATTATTATATTACCTTCTTTAAGATACAATGATTAAACCAACAGAGGCAAACAGACAACATCTATGACATTCACCATGGAAAGGGGAAAAATCAGGAAAGTAGAATTTGATAAACATCATTCAATACTTTCAAAAGCAGTGACCAAGATCAAAGTCTTCTTTGATCCTGTTTTAATCAACATACTGCCATCCACCTCTAATTTAGCCTCATGGTGGTTTTTTTGTTTTGTTTGGGGTTTTTTTTGTTGTTGTTTTACAGGATGTGGGTTTTTTGGATTGGTTTGAATCAATTGGTTGATTGGATTGGTTTTTTTTTCCCTTTATTTTGTCACTGTCTATCATGCTATTCCTAATCATACTGAATTTCCCTAGAGGACCTGTAGACATTGTGGTTTTGCTTACCCAAGACCCACTTCATGATCAGCAGTTCTGTCCATGAGAACTGAGTTGTTTTGACTCTAAATATTTGTTTTGGATGATCCGTGATGGTCTCGTTGGGGAGATTTTTTACTCCTTCAAACCGATCTGAAGCATTCACTACTAACAGTCCAAGGAAGATTGTGAAAGAAACTGCATGTGCCACAAACTTCATGAAAGGACTTCGGAGGGTTCGTCCCAACTGCAATTAAACATATACAAGACATAAGATTTTTTTTTTTTTTCCCCCTCATCCCCCTCCTGGAAGTTTTTTTTTTTTTCCTATAAAAGTTTGCCCAAGGTGAAAAAGATTCAGAAATGAATGGGGTTTAGATTTGTTCAAGTTGTTCTTTGTTATTACTAGACATTGCACATTGTAGTTCCAATTATACCCTTTGGATAATATTCTATGCATAGCAGGATCGAATGGGGTTTAGATTTGTTCAAGTTGTTCTTCGTTATTACTAGACATTGCACATTGCAGTTCCAATTATACCCTTTGGATAATTTTCTATGCATAGCAGGATGTTATATTGCTCCTTTATACCCACACATAATATCTAATTGTCCTGGCCATATGGTAAGTGGAAAATCAAGAGACAGGATATTTATATGAGGCATGTTTGCATGCATACGTGTTATATGAATGGATTCGTGTATCAATACAAATCCTAATGATGGTCCCACTTCTCATCCTGTTCTCATCATTGTTACATTTTAGAATCTTTTATTAATATTAAATTCTTGGTTCATTAACAATGTGTAAGAAATAGCCTTCTGTTTAAAGATTCTCTAGTAATGCTTTTAATATGCTTTGGTATGATAGTCTTCTCTCATAATTACTACAAAAGCTGGAGATTCACTCTCCAGAACACAAGGATTTATTTCAATACATTAAGCCAAGAATCAGAGCAGATCACTATAGCTAATGTTTGTTCCGTTCTTCTTGAAAAGCTTTGTTTGCTAATTAATTCCAATAACACTCTTCTCATTTTACATTTTCTGTGATGTAAGAAAACATTAGTCCAGAAAGATTTTAGGTTAGAAGAATTTTTAGGACTGCAAGGACCAGTGCCTGTGGCATTGGACACAACAGACAGCAATGCCAGTATCATCCCTTTCCAAAACCACCTCGAAGCACTTAGAATTTTTTGCAGTATATTGCTCATTATTAACTCCTCTGGATGACAAGGTATCCTTAAAATTTTCTTAATATCTACTAACTTGATAATAAAACTTCATAAGAATTATGAAAAAAGACTGGAAAAGGACATTCTTTGTTTCCTTATTTATCTCCAATAACAGCTTTGTTCAAAGGAGCCCAGGTCCCTGGTCATTGCAGGGCAGAAAATATTTTAAAAGCAGGGCTCTTTAGGTCTAACAGAAATTTAAAGAAAGCCTTATGATTCTGCTTCTTATTTCTTTTTCTTCTCTGAATTTTTTAAAATGTCAAATAAATCTTTTAAGACTAATAAAAAAAATTAAGAACAATACCCTATTGAGAAAGTTACATGTTTCTAAATGCCAGAAAGACTTTTCAATAAAGAAAATATTTTAAAAAGTCTGCTCTATCCCCAAGCCCTTATTATCATGCTCACTTTTTTCTGAGGTCAATAAGGATGTGTTTAAGTGGGCAGATATTACACTGAATCAAAACCCAAGTTTCTTTCATCTTGCCTTAGGAACATTATGGCAGATGCAGGTGTAAATGAAGTGTGATAAAACCAGTCCCAACACTTGTGATGCTGGTTTACCCCTCTGCTGTAAACTTTGTTGTAGTGTTAGTTCTCAACAAATTTTTATGGCTGATGTTGGGTAGATTTCCATTTTGCAACAGAATTTCCAGTACAGAGCTGATGGGTTGATGAGATATGTTTGAACAGTGCCCCATACAGTAATCATCTCAGATGTTTTCCTTGTATGACCTATCTGAGAGAGCTCAAAGAGCAAGAGCAAAGCATAACAACAGCTATGGGCACATGGGTCCTTACCAACAAAGTTCTAAGAAAGTGTATTTGCAATCTGTATAAGACTCATTTCTACCCTGAATTCACTAGAAGAGAAAAAGCACTATCTATTGAACCATGAATTCTCTCCAAATAATTAGACTTTTCTGCTGTCTATAGAAACTTTTAAAAAGACCTGAGATTAAAGAAGCACAGCCTTGGTTATCAGAGAAATAACCCCATGTATTACAGAACCAAATGAATTCTGTGGGTAATTTGACTTAGTTCACTACTCATTTAACAAAGTCTGCATTTAGTCAGTGCTACATCAGCATTTTATCCTTATTATTACTGGGGAAAACTTACAATTTTTTTCTTGAGCTGATGTTTTTAATATCTTCTCAGAAATCTGATTTTTAGCTAAGGGGTACAGGAGGTGAAAGTGTTGACCAGAGTATTCTGTAAGAAATTAATGAAGTATCCATGCCTTCAGACAACCTAATGCTTTATGACCATAAGATGTATTTTTCAAGCAACCTGATAAGTTATAATCAAGCTGTGTAACTACTTGGAGGTATTAATTTCTCAATTACTTTCTAAAAATCACAATATTGTCTTTCATCAAATTGGGATTGCAGGGAAGTGCCTGGCTGTCACTGTTAAGATAGAAACACTGACAGTGTGTGAATAAAAAGGTTCATTCTTAAGAGAATGGCTCATTTCATGACCTAGTATCCTCTCTATATTATAGGAAAATAATGAAGTATGCAGACATGTCAGAAAGAAACTATATAAAATGTGATAGGGAAACTAAATTTTCAAGATGTAAATTAATCTCTACTCCAAGAGACAGGAACAAATAGATAGAAATATCATAATGAAAAAAGACATTACTATTTGCAGTACCATGCTGATAGCAGAAACATGAAGAATATTGTTATAGAAATTTTGTGTAGCTTAACCAGGCAGGAAAATACTCAGAGTAAAAAGGTACAGGTACAGTTTTAGGTGGAGTGAACCATTAAAGTTCCAGTACTTAAATGATGCTAAGTCTGTCCCAGCAGGAGTTATGGTCTGTAAATTCCCAGCATGGCTACATGAAAGCAAGAGAACAACCCAGGCAATGAGAGCTGTGTATAAATGATCTCTGCTAGTGTTGTAATACTTGAATGTACACTTCAACAGACCACAGAGGAAAGAAAATACTTCTTGAAGTTCTGCAGACAATCCAATCAGTCCTGCTTGCTCTTGTAACTATATTTTTGGGCAGACTGTGCAATTTTTTCCATTCTACCTCTTATCTTCTCTTTTGATCACCAGTGAAAAAAAGTTTTGGATACCCACATATAAAGCAATAGTTCATTTCAGAGTCAGAGCCTCCATGAGATGGATGAGTCAACACAGATATGTCAGGATAGGATAGGCTTACACTCCGCAGGTCTTGTCAACAGTTTGTGCATCCAGAGGTGAATGAGTGACTGACACTAAAATTAGTTTTAATAAAGACAGCTCTGTGCAAATGAATGCAAAAGAAGACTTAAAAGTTCAGTTGCAAACTCCAGTTAAATACTATTTACTAGATTTTCAAGGGTGTTATCCCAGTATGGTGTATTCTAATTCCACAAAGCTTTATTAAAAAACCAAAATTCCATTAAGGAGTAAAGGGTTGAAAATATATTCCTTGCTCAGATACATCAGTGAAGGAATTATCTTGAGATATGACTTACTCTGTTACCCCATGTGAAACTGCAGAATTTGACCAATAAATCTGAAGAATGTGATACACAATATCATGGTCAGGACATCTCCTATAAGCAGTATTCCACATCACAGAAATTTCCATAATTTTTCTTACTGTCTTAGCCCAGATATGAGTTCCTGACTCATGCCTAGGCATCCACGAGTCTATTAAATCAGGCCTGATTTGATTGAAGCTAAATATCTTAGTTGTTTGTTACTATGGAAAAATTATTTCATTAGTCCTTTGTGTAACATCAAGATTGTTTCTATGACTTAAAACCAAACAAAACACTTGTAAAATTGACCAGGACAAAATTGGGCTGCTCAGAACATCACAAGCAAACATCACCATCCTTTCAGCAGATATGCTGCCTGTGTAAAATTGTCTGCAATAACACTAAGAGGATACAAGGCTCATGCATCAACCCTCAGCCCTTGAATCTAATAATGACTATTTGGGGTGAGGTACCAATTCCTGGAGGAAAAATGCATTCATTATTCATTTATTTCTATGACAGTGCCCAATCTAAAATCAAGATTACATTGTTCTGATCAATGCAAAGCCATTCATTAAAAGACAATTCTGGCCTGAAAGTACTTTCAATTTGATTTTATGACAGAAGGTTCCATATGGTTTTTCACAGTCTAAAGAGGGGTGAAAAGAAAGGGATGTTGAAAAATGAGAATGAACAAAAGGTTTAGAGTAATGAAATCACAGCTGATAAAAAGTTAAGCTCCTCTCCTTCCATTTACTTAAATAAAAGCTTAGTCCTTTGACCTCTAAGGTCTCAGCAAAACTCTCCTGCTCCATCCGATGCTATGAGACACAGCACAGCCATATTTAGGTACACAGCAGCTTTCCAAGTGTCATGATTTTTTCCCTCAAAACCATAAAGATTGTGGGATTAAGTCTAGTCTTCTCTGCAGCACTAAGCACTCCTCTGGGACTTTCCAGAGGTTCAGGCACATGTGCCATAATAATGCTCCACAAACTAAAGATACAAGATCAGAAAGAAGGAGGAAAGAGAAGAGAGGAACTCTGAAGAAGGAAGGAACCATCAACAAAAAGTATCTAAAAGGAATGAGAGTTTAAACACCAGAGTTAACTGAAAGGGCAACAAAGATCTTCTCCTTTAGTTATTCCCCACTTTGGTGGTTCTTTTATTCTTTCTTCACTCCCATGTTGTTATCTCCTACCCATTTCTTGTTCCTATTCTTTTCTTGTCACCCACTGTCTCAATGTTTCCTTCTCCCACCATCCCAGCTTTTTTACCTGTAAAGGTAAAAAACCATGTCTAATAACTCAATTTGTGTATATCAAGCAACACCTCACGCTTGCTCTCCTCTGGGGTACTCTTAGAAGACAGTATGAATCACTTCTCAATGACGTTACAGAAAAATATGTGACTTCATTCCAGGCCCTGGGTAGAAATGACCATAAAAAACATGCACCTTAATGAGTTTGTACCTTGCTGCAGGGAGCTATCCAGTAGGCTATGGCAAGGAAGGGCAGGCCAATGGAGACTCCAAAGACCGCCAAGAACTTCACAGCTATAGATTGCTGCCGTAAGCCTGAGAGATTTTCATACCACATGGTGAGCAATTGCTGCTGGCAGTTGGGGTGAGCAACAAACTGTAAAAGAAACAGAAATAGAAGTATCAGTAACAT